GTTCATTATTTTTCTATTTGCAATTTCATTGATTCCTGCACTATATTTTATCTTTGATTTTGCTTATCTGGAACTTAATCGGTTCTTTTTTGTAGATTCCTAAGATGAAAATTGAGATTATTGTTTTTAGATCTCTCTTATTATCTAAAGCACTTAAAACTATAAAGTTCACTGCATTCCATACATTCTGGTATGTTTTAATTTTCACTGAATTCAAATACTCTGAACCTCTCAAGATTTCTTCTTGGAGTCATGTGTCATTTAGAAGTGTGTTGTTTAATCTCCATTGGTTGTGGAATTTTCCAGTTATACTTTTGTTACTTAATTTTGTTTTAACCCCAGTGTGATTTGACAGCAGACATTGCACGATTTCTGTCCTGTGTGTCTGTGAGGGTGCATGCTGGGCTCCAGAATGCGGTCTTTCTGGGAGACTGTTTCCGGTAAGCCTGAGAATGACGTGGCTGCTCTGCTCCAGGTGCTGCTGGAGCCTCCCACAGACATCGGGCACGCCCAGATGGTCAGGGCCTCCAGTTCCGTGATGCCACTGCAGCTTTTCGGCCATGTTGTCGATGGCTGATTTTTTTCCTATTTGCTTTGTTAATTACAGACAGGAATACTGAAATTCCCCACCCATACCTGTTTATAACTTGGTTTGTGTATATAGATACATACACATGCATATGTACACATATGTATACACACCTATGTACACATGTTTGTATATGCACATGTATACATATATATACACATATATGTGTGTGTGTGTGAGAGAGAAAGAATTGGTACTATATTGCTATTTTGACCCTTTCATCATTAAGTAATGTCCCTTTGTGTTTCTGGTAATTATTTTTCTCATAGTCCATTACATCTGCATCAATATAATCTTTTCAGCCTTCCTATGCTAACTGTTTGTGTGGTATATTTTTTAATATGCTTTCACTTTTAATCACCTTGTGTCTCTATATTTAAAGTTTCTCTCTTATGGGAAACATGCACAAATACAGTTAGGTCTTGGTTTTGGTCCAGTTTGGCAATTCCTTGAGTTGATTACAATGTACAGTTCACTTATACCTATTTACATGTTTATGCAATTTTATAGTTATTTAATTAAACACTTAATTGTATGACCTGCATGGAATTAGGTCAGCCATTTTGGTTTTGTTTCCAGCTGTCTCATCTATTTTTTGTGTATCTCCTTTTCTTTTACGGTCTTTTTAATGCTAAGGAAGTTATTTTCTCTATTATTTACTTTTTTGGGCGTTGAAACAAGTCTGTCCAGCGCCTTCCCACCCGAGGAAGACCCCTCAGTCTGAAGAGCTCAGCAAGGCCCCGGGGGAGTGGGGGGAAGGCTCCTCGCAGCCCCCAAACAGACCCGGACACGGCCGGCCACCAGTCTGAGCCTGGGGTACAGGGCACAGTCTGAAGCCTGCACAAGGGCTGGAGGCTGTGTGCTCTGCTGGCCCGGCGTGTCACTCTCTCTGGCGTGGGGCATCCAAAAGCAAGCCGTCGGGCCACGGACTTAGCTCAGTGGTTACGGGGCTTGAGGTCACATCCGCACCTGCTCACGCTTTGGCTTCCTTGAGCGTGGGACCTGCAGGACCAGGGCCGTTCCCAGGTGACAGGGCTGCTCTCCTCACGGGAAAGGCCCCACCTCCTCACACTGTCCGCATCTGGTCTCTCTGAGTGTGACCTGGAGGTCCGCTCTCTGTCCCTGAGTGCCCTGACCACGGCCCTGGGTCCTGGGGACCGTCTGGGGGGACAGCGCTCACCCCCCACCTCTGTCCTGCCATGCGGACTGAGTGCATGTGGGGCAGGTAGAGGTGTCGGCCAGCCCGCAGGAAGGCCAGCTTCCTTCCAACTGGCCTCTGACCACGGCCTGCAGGGCTCCGGGGAACCAAACGGTGGCATGAGGAGGGCTGACGTGCCGCCCATGTTGAGCTCAGCGTGTTGCACTTTGGCCGGATTCCAGCAATCATGGGGAAGGAAGCTGAGGGAGATCATTGGCTCAGTCACCCTTGGTGACTGTTTCAGCAGGAAACAGTGCCTTCTTTGTCCACGGGTATTAGGAACCTCAAACTTTCTGATCATGGAGAAAACACAACAGGCCCAACAGTCTGAGCCCTGGCGAGGGTCAGAGAATCTCGACCTCCACTTTCCAGTGTGTTCATCCTTCAACTCCAGCACACAGAACTGGTGAGGCCATGGAGGTCTGGTCAGCACCTACGGCGGCAGCCCAGAATCCTGAGAGCTGTAAGGCTTTGTGCACAGGTGTGGGGAGAGAAGCCTGGAAAGGAAAACACGATAGACACGGAAGAGGCATGGCAGACCCACGCCTCCAGCCTGACGTGGTGACTGTCGCTACCACGTCTTACCGCAGACCGCACGGCGGAGATTCTCCTACCCACAATCCCCTGAGTGTCCCATGGGCCCCCAGTGCCCCCAGGCTCATCTGAGCCCTGCTGCTGCTCCCCTGCCAGGTGGGAATGGCTGTGGCTCAGCTGAGCAGCACTTTTTCGTCTGCCCTACGTCCTGGCTTTAGGCAGAAATTGTGACACTGCACTGAGTCCCACATTCCCCAAGTAAAACCGATATTCCCATCGTGACCGACACTCCTGTAACAAGGCAAGGACAGGAACGAGACAAGCATGTCACGATGCCGCAGCACACTTTGAGACCAGGGCTCTACTTCCCACAGCAGAGCTGCTCGGGGAGGATCTTCTGCAATACGCGAGTCCTGAGGACACGCTTCACACTTCATCCAACACCAGAAGCGGCCTGTCCTCCGGGAAGGGTGTTTCTCACCTGCCTGCACCAGTACTGTGGGAGCAGAGACGGGGTGGTCACCAGTGTCTCTGTGTCCCTCACCCAGCACCAGAAAGCCTTTGGGAATCCAGCTGCCGGGTCTGGGGTGGCACCAACCAGTGCCTGGCCAGGGGCAGACAGAAGCTGAAGACCAGGAGCTTCCAGCAGCCTCTTTGCAGCAGTGGCTGGAGTCACTTCCTGGGGAGGATCCAAGCCTGGCTTCACCTACGCCCTGGGAGACCTCTACAGCGCATGCTCCTCCTCCGTTTAGCCCTGGGTTTGGGACAATGGTGAGAGCTAGTACCGACGGGGCATTGGGATATTATTCCTCCTTTTCCTTCTCTTCTGGGCTGAGCCTCCCTAACCAGAAAATCCGAAGGCCACGTGCTGTGCAGTCGGGAACTTTCTGAGCACTAACCAACATGGCCTTGCCCCAGGTGACAGTGCTTAGACAGACACAGCTCGTGTGGCATTCCCAAGGGGATGCCTCCTTGCAGCTCCATTAGCTGTGAGCCACAGCCTTTGCTCATGCACAAGATTCTTAAAAACCTTGTGCTCCGTATGTAAGGTCTGCGTGAAATGGAAGGGAAGTTTGTGCTTGGACTCAGGTCTCACCCTCAAGGCACCCCACTGGGCGTGCGGACATTCCACAGCGAGGAGGACCTGAGGTCCGGCATATGCCTGACCCAGACACCGCCGCTGCGGGGTGCATTACTGCAGTGGACCTTGACTTACACACAAACTCAGTCCATTCCCAAGGGCTGGTTGTGACTCAAGTTGGTCCATGAAGCCCCAGGCTCCTCTATACAGCCTTCAAAGTCTCTCTTCTGCACACAAGCTGATCTCGGTGTCCTTAGAGAGACACTGGCCCAGGATTTCTGTATCTGAGACCATCTGGAAGCACAAACCACTGGCATTTGGGTCGTAACTCAAGACTTCAGTCCGAAGTTAAAGCTAAAATTCTGGTCATAACTCAAGGTGTTTGTATGTCAGGCTGGTTGTAACTCAAGGGTCCACTGTATTACATGGCAGCTCCTGAGCCAGCCTCAGGCAAAGGGTACCTGGTGCTGTGGCCAGGGTTGGGGAGCCAGAGCAGGACTGTAGGCCGGGGCAGGAACAGTTCTATCTGGATCTCCTCAACACCTTCGAGGCACCGACTCAGGCGGCTCTGGAGTGTAGACGGTTCCTAAGGCTCTCTGGCGCCTTCTCAGACTTCCTGGCAAGACCCTCAATGAGCAGTGTCCTCATTAACCCCGTCCCACCCGGATGTCGGTGCCGCCTGCCTGTCATGGTCGCGGGGGCAGGACTTAGCTTGGGTAGAAGACAGCTCACGGACCCCACAGTCTTACTGCAGACTTACACTGTGACAGCAATAGAAATACCACAAACATAGGAGAGAGAGGCACAGTTATAAGGGTTGAAAATGTAAAGATTAAGTGCTAGCATCTCTCTTACCTGCACTCAAAATAGCCCCTGCCCTGCAAAAGAACCCACTTAGGCTCCTCAGGTCCTCTCTTGGACCCTGGGAACTGTTCGCTCACCAGTATTTCAGTTCTGGCACCCTTTGACCTGTACACATTCTCTTCACGCCAGTCTTCCTATGTCTGCTCTTTGCTAAATGTGCTACAATTTGCTGTTTAGAAATTCCTTGTCAAGTTCTTTTTAGAAGAAGAAGAGAGAACTCACACCAGACATAGGCACCATGATCACTCTGTTGCCAGGGAATCAGAATGTCACCGCAGGGCCTCTAGGAGGAGGGAGTTTATTGTTGTAGAGACGGAAGCTGCTGCTTTTCAGGGCATGAGAACAGCATGCACTGATCAATTCTCTAGAAGACTCTGAAAACTCTGCTTTTATTTATTTATTTAGCTTTTTTCTGGAGACAAGGCCTCACCATGTAGGCCAGGCTGGCCTTGAACTGATGGCGATCCTCCTGCCTCAGCCTCCTGTGTGTGCTGGTATTACAGGCGTGCACCATCATGCCTGGCTCTGCTCAGCTATTATTTCAAAGCTCCGCATCCACTGGAAAGGTTTCCTCTTTGGCAGCTTCTGTGTCAACGGTTTGTCCTGGCATATAGAGCAGCCACATGGGAAAAGAGAGAGCCAACAAGAAGCAGTTTCTCACCTCAGCAAACCCCTCTGCACAGCCTACTGAAACAATTTTTCCTATCTCACACAAAAAGGCAGAACAAAGAACATCCTTTCAATGACTTTGCAAGATGTGCTTTATTTGAACTCGGCCCTGAACCCAAACCACACACGATCACATTTTTGACATATTCCAGCTCAATGATTCTTCTCAGAAACTATTTTTAATATAGAATGAAAACTACATATTTCAGTCATAAATTTTTCATGCTACATTGTTATTTCAGGAAGTTGTATTACCAATGATAATAATTTAAGAAAAGGCCATTTTTATTTCCCCAAGCTCAATATACATATTTCTTTCATAATTATGAACTTAAAAAACCCGTCTCAGATGTAAAAATGTGAATTGGAATATGTAAACTCTTTGATATACCTGAAAAACAGGAAGGAAAATGTCACATACTGGAAAAACCCTTGCCTTAATCATCAAAGTGGGGGAAAGCGAGTCAGGGCGGGGCGGGTGGGGAGCACCCGGGACCTCGGAGGGAGGAGGCGCCATCCGGGTCCTGGTCCCGGTCCTGGTCCCGGTCCTGGTCCCGGTCCCGGTCCGGCCGGCTGCCCTCCGCCACGCCCCTCCGGCTGCCCATTGGTGTTGCTGCTTTTCTTTTTTTTCCTGAGAAGTCACTGGTGTTTCATGGAAAAGATTTCTTATTCATCTTCAGTTAAGATAAGGCAGTAAGAGTGTCGCTAATGTTAACTTTTTGCTTAGAGTGAGGCTGGCTTTCTGCGGGCAGCTTGGGGGCTCCTGGTTCCCTCTCTTGCCCGGAAACACAGTCGGGGCTCCTGCCTGCGACTGCTGTTGCTTACTTGGGCTGCTGAGGGTCCCGAGCTCCTTCAGCACATCCCCAGCTGGGTAGGAGCTGGTGATGGCCTCATGGCGTCACCCCAGGAGACAGGTGGCCCCACAGGGTGAAACACGACCTCTGCCCTCTTCCTGCTTCTGTCGCTCCCAGAGAAGGCACCGTGCCTGGATCTTTGATGCGGTCAATCAGAGTGCAAGACGCCACTGACTAAAACATAGAGCAAGTAGCCCTGATTTCAGAGAAAAGGCAGTACAATGTCTTCAGCAGCACCTCCTCTTGCAAGGCAGCTCAGACTGCAAAAGGAGGTCAGCTCCTTTGCTCACCTGCCAGGAGAGAAACCAATGCCACTGAACTAGAATGCTTAGCTCTGAGGAGAATGTTGTGCTTTTGTAAAAAAATTCAAATGTTAGCATGATTTGTAGTTTGGGCCCTAGGCGTCAGTTTGTCTTTTCTCTGGTCCATTTGATCATCGTCTCTGGTGAGCGGTACAGGAATATTAACTTGGCATAGAGATCTTCTTCTAGTTCCAGTTCCCCTGTCTCTCGAACTAAAAAAATATCTGTGCATAACTTCAGAATCCGATCCACATTCGGAAGCTCTTCGAACATGATGGAGTGCGAGATGCCACTGAAGAACTCCCGGACAAACTTCCCAATCACTAGGACAACCGAAGCGTATAATCCCATGATGCTGGAAAACAGGAAGCAGGTTTGCACCTGGCAGTTAGCGATGGCCAAGGAAACATGGGAACCATTCCGGTAAGATGCAAGGGATTCGGTAGAAATGCAACAGCACTACACACTTTTCTGAAACCAGCTCTTTCCCTTTAAAAATCCTGTCTTTCTCAGAAATTTACTCTTATAATACAATTCTGGGTGGAAAATTACTTTTTCTGAGGTGAACTCTGGGAAATACGACATGTCATTCTTGTGTCCTGTGCAGGATGTGTGTATCTCAAGGTCTCAGCACCAATCAGGCCATGAGGAGATCGTTTGATGTGCTCACAGCTGACATCTAACTGATCCATCTGCTAAGGGTCAGAGGGCAATGAAAGCAGAGAATCACGCCAATTTCCAGATTTAAATACTGAATTTCATCAAGCAAGGGCATAACAGGAAGGCACAGAGTAAAGAAGCCATCCACAATCTGGGGTTGTGTGTGACACTAGACGTTTCGTGTCTTTGAACCTCTGGTTCCTTATTTTTTTGAAATCAAGGGACAAGGCTATGTGGATTTTATTTATTTATTTTGGTACCGGGGATTGAACTCAGGACCTTGTGCTTCGAGGCAGGCGGCAGAACCACTGAGCTACCTCCTGGGCCCCTCAAGGCTATGTGAATTTTAACAATGCAGCTATACAACTTGAGAATTCTAAGAAGAAACAAAGCATTCCTACCCACAATGTCCTAGGGTTGAGAAGCAGAGGCGTAACCGACAGGGGCTGAGCGCGTCCTTACCCGTAGCCAGCCAGGAACCCCAGGCTGGGGGGGCTGACCTTGTCGTTGAAGACCATCAGCTCCAGAGCCTGAGACTCCTGGTCGTATACTCTGTCGCCGGTCAGGTTGAGGACCCACCACTCACTGCTAGACTTAATCGTGTTGTCTCTGGACAGAATGATGGTTATATTCATGAAATCTTTTTCTGGAAGGGAGAAAAGCAAAATCCAGTCACCGTGAGAGGTGAGAGTTGGAGGACTGGGTGCAACCAGCAGCTCTCAGATGGCCGGACCTGGTCCCTGGCTGCAGCGCAGGGGTCCAGGTGAACAGAACATGTGAGCACACTGACCACGCTACCAGCCGAGTGCGGGTGGTGTCTTTTTCCACTAAGGAGCTTGGTGATCATCATACACGTGCACAGGAGTGCACAGGGGTTGGAGGGTCCACCCTGAGCTGCTGTGCCAAGCACTCCAAACAGCTATGGGGACGTTCGACCCCAGTCACTGACTTCCGGTGCAATGGACTGATTCGTTAATATTATCTGCATTGGCTGAGTGCCTCCTGGAAGTGCTCTCTTAGTGCTGAAGGCTGCAGAATTGCACATGTCATTGCTCCTTCTCTTAATGGGAAAAGACCATGTGTGCAAGCATAGTTTATGGTCACACTGCAACCACCCTAGGACCAGCAGTGTTCAGGTCTCTCCACTTAGACAGAGCACTTCTGGCTGGTGTGACTCATGAGAGTTTCAAAGATGAAATGACCTCTGAGCCAAGTTTGGCTGAGTGAGAACTTCAAGACGTGCAGGTGGGGTGGGACTGGCACTCATTTCAGGAAGGACTGGCGGCATGAATCTCTGCGAGGCTCTAAAATTGTAACGTTTGGTCAGTGATTGCTTCTGTTGGACCACAGGGTGAATGCAAAATAACAGTAAAAGATGGGGCGAATGACAAACTGGGGGTTATAGTGCACAAGCTTTCTAAGAAGATTTCACCACCCTCACTGGTAACAGTGCTTCCATTGAGAAGTGTGGCAGTGACTGAACTCTGAAAGAGGGTGAATCATATTTGCCTTATTCCATGATCAAGTTTTCAATCTTAAGAATCTAGGGCAGTACCCGGCAGAAAATGTCTGTTGGATGGATGGATGGGTGGGTGGAAGGAAGGATGAGTAGCTGGATGAATGGATGGATGGATTAATGGAGGGTTGTAAGGATGGATGAGGGGTGAAGGAGTGGATGGATGGACAGATGGACAAATGGATGAGGGGATGGATGGAAGGATCAATGGATGAATGGAATGACGGGTGGGGGGATGAGGGGATGGATAGATGGACAGATGGATGATTGGATGGATGGATAGGGGCTGAATGAGTGGGTGGATAGAGAGACAGATGAATGAATGCAGAACAGTTAAGGATAGCAGGACACTACTACAGCCAAAATTCTTACCCAGAATTAAAGCTCAGGACACTCAGGAACAGGATAATTAGGGTTCTGAAGTCCAGAGACAGGTATGAGGGGAAGCATCTGGTCCTGAGCCCAGACCCAGGTTTGGATCTAGTTCTACCACGTACTGGTTGCATGACTGGCTGAGTAAACCATACCCAGAGCCTCAGCTCCTCACATGTAAACTGCGATAACCTCCAACCTGTGCTACCTCTACCCATGGTGACATCACAGACAGGCACAGATGCCAGTGTGTGTGGGGGGGTGGGAAGGACCAGGGAGCTCAGTGAAGCTGCAGGTGGAGTCAAGGAGGGGCAGGGGCTGGGCGCAATGGAGGCTGACCTGGAAACACAGAGAGGATGCCCCTTTCCCTGAACCTGGCAGGAAGGAGGAAGGGCATCGTGAATACCGGACACTTTCCACCGAGAGGGAGGCTACATGGTGTACGCCATCACACACGTGTGCCCTGCATGGTGTGCTCGGTGGCTGGCCAGAACATCAGGAGGAACACGACTGTCACCCAGAGACAGGGCCTGCACACCCTCACTGTGACACTGGAGAAGTGCTATCGCTGAAGGGTGCCTCAAGGAGGCGCTGACAGCTCTCAGGCTGGACCAGGTCACTGTCACACTGCCTTTTACTGCTTCTCCGGGAGGCAGCAGCGTTTAACAAGCGTGAGGCTGTCAGCACCCTGGCTGCTGACAAAAACAAGTAGAGACTGGTCAAGCAGAACTGTGGCTCACTAAATCTGGATCTACGTCAGTCGCAGGTTTTTTACCAAAGAGACAAAGAAAATGAAGAACAGGGCTCTGAGGTGTGCACAGGTAGATGAAGGGTTTTGGTTCTTCTCACACAGGGAAAGTAGCTCCATAAAGCCTCAAAGTACAAACTGTTGATACCAGACAAAAATAAGATTTTAAAAAGTTTTGAAATAACTTGTTCCTACCTGATAAAAGCTGCTTTATAGGTTTTGAGTTAGAGTCGCTCGGTGCTTTCACGTAATATGGGTATATCTTTTCTATTGTCCTGTGAGGTGAGAAAAAGACAATACAGTTTTAGTTGTTTGACCCTCCTAAAATCAAACTGTATTGCTATTTTTGGCCTTCTATTAAACAAATAATGATGAGTCTTTATACATCAATGTAGTGCATCAGCATCTGATTGTGCGTTTCCATGATACTCAGAATCCCTCGAAGCTGAACAGATTCCCAGGTCCCATCCAGATTCACAAGCGAACTCAGCATACAGCAAGTCAAGGGCTGCAGCCTGGCTCCCGGGGGTCCTGGGTCTGTCACTGATTTCTGATGCCAAGGTGTTCTCTTTCCTGTAGAGCTTATCCGTAATGCACTGAATACTCTCCTGCTGTAATTGCAGGATTCAAGATTATCTATAATCCCTTGGGTGGCACGAATGGAGCTGGTGGGAGTGAGGGAAACGTGGGATTTGGACTCCAACCTGCTGTGTTTCTGGAGCAGGTCCTGAGATCTGAGCAAGTGACCTGGAGCAGACTCAGCCCCAAGTTCTCATCTGGAAACAATGGAGAGGATTTGATGATCTTCAAGAACCCTGAACGTCTGCGATTTATGCAGAACACCTTCCTTCATCCGGGGACTTTCACCGACTGCGTCCTGGTGGTCCTTATGCTGAACACATTAACAGGGCCAGGACAAACTGTGGGACAAAACTGGAGTCTGCTGGTGGATGTCTGGAATATGCTGTGTAGCAGTTTTAGATCAGTATCATTGCTTTTTTAATTTTGTGATGCTGGAACTGAACCCAGGGCTGCTGCAAGTTAGGTAAGTGTGCACCACTGAGCCACATCCGGGCCCCAACATCCTGTTTTCTTGCTAGTCCTCCTATTGGGTTCTAAGCCTCACAGCTGGCCTGTCTGAAGTGGAGTATGTACAAGATGTAACTGAAAAGTATGCTGAGTGTTTGAACTAAAGAAAAACCCCTTTATTACAGTAAAAGCGTGTCACCATGGATCCCTCCCCAAATCGTCTGCTTCACTTTGAACTCTTATCCCACTGTTCTTGTTACTTTCTGAAGCAGGTCTGGAAGTCCTCTTTTTTGAGTGTCTTGTGCAGTTGGGGGTATTTCAATGTCCTGAACTGATTCAAAACATGTCCCTTTCCCGGTCATTTTGACTTTGGGGACGAACCAGAAGTCCCACAGCGCTGGATCCAGTGAGGACACGCTTTCCCATTTTTAGGAGCTTGCCTTCCCATTGGTTGGCACTTGGCGGCAGCAGCATTTACCATATTTCTGATCACACCTTGTAGACTCTCACAAAAGAGGACTTCCAAGGCTGCTGCAGAAAGTACCGAGAATGAAGAGATCAGTGTGTTCGAAGTGAGGGGAGGCTTTTGAGGGGGTTCGTGGTAATGTGTCTTTTAATGTCATCATTAAAAAAAATTAAAGATTCACTGTATGTTTTGATCACATCATGTATATAACGAGGTAACATTTTGAAGTCCACTTCTTCTCCTCAGTTTTCTCTGACCCTTGTGACCCTGCCCACCTGACCCCAATTCAGTCGGCTTTGTGTTCAGACCCTGGCAGGTAGGAGGCATAGAGGGAAGGGCTCTTCTCTGGCTTTTGGTGACCCTGGCCAGCCAGGAGGGAGGTGTCACTGCTCCCTGGGCTGCTGGATGGAGGCATCTGAGGGGAAGGAATACGGGGGCAGCAGGGGCTCCCTCAGAGGGAACCCAGTGAGCCTCCTCTGGAGTGTGGTGACACAGAGTCTACACTGCACATCATGTGGTCAGTGTACCACAGACAGACCCTCTCCTGTGAGCCTGCCATACAGCTACTTGTGAATCTGTAGACGGAGATTCTGTACCAGCCACACCCACGGTTAGGGCTTGTATGCAGATGTCCCCAAAGGCTCATGTGGTCATAGGTGAGGTTTTCATAGGTAGCTGGATCTAGGGTGTGTGATGCTGGGGTTAAGAATATGACTCTGGGATGCAGGGTGCCTAGCCTAGTGTGAGCGCTCCCCACCCTAAGGGCAGGTACCCTGGATGGAATATAAGGGACAGAAAGAGGGCTGCACTCGTTGCTGCTGCTGTAGCTTCTGCTTCTGCTGCTGCACATCGCTGCTTGCTGCCTGTGCCATGAACTGTTTCTCCTCTGCGGTGCCCCTCTGCCATGCCACCTTGGAGTGAGCCGACTATGGACTGAAACCTCTGCAAACTGTCAGCCAAAATAAAGCTTTCCTCCTTTAAGTGTCAGGTATTTTGTCTCAGTAGTGAGAAAAATAACTAAGACCCCCATGTGAGACCCCTACAGGGAAGAGACTTACACAGGTGTCTTTGAACTTTCCGTGTCATTGCCAGCAATCATTTTAGCTATACTTTCTCGTGTGACATTTTTAAGAGGAAACGTGAGCTTATCTGTTGCTATTTCTGCTTTTGCACCCAGACTCATGTTTCTATGAAGAAAAAAGGAAGAAAGAAAAAAGCACAATGTTAGTGAATATTCCAAAGTCCAGAAGAGATTTCAAAAGTAACTTGACTCCAAATTCTAGGCCCCTCCCCAGGCTTTCACTGAGCCCACAGCTGTCATCCCAGCCCTTCCTGTCCACCTCACCTCAGCGTTTACCTTCGTAGATGAACAAGTTAATAAAACCCGGTGGGGCCACAAACACTTTTGAAACAGAATGGGGATGGCATAGTCTGCTGGCTGAAAGCATAACTGAATTCATGTTTTAAAAGGAATGTTCAATCAGATATTGAATTTTAAAATTATTTAGCACTTCAAATAAAAAGCTAGGAAGTAAAGTTTTGGCAATCAGCCCAGAAATTGGTGAGACATTTGCGACACTTCCAAGGAGAAAAAGGAAATTAAAGGAGTTCTCTAAATTCTGAAAACCCACATCAAAGAGACCTTTCCATTTTCTTGTGAGTTTTTTTAGAGTTCAGAAAGCCTTCTTCTGTCTGCGTCATGATTCTTTGTGAATTTAACGAAGCAGTTGGTACTGTGGAGACCTATGTGAACCTACTGCCTGCTGGCATGGAGTCCCGGACGTCAAGTCCTTGATGACAGAAACCACGGTGATCAGCCAGCGAGGTGTCCAGAGCTGTGTCACTCAAGCAGTGGACACCAGAGCTACACGAAGGAGCTTTTTCTAAGATGCACTGTGACTACGCTAGTGAAGGCAAAGCAGTGGTCGTGTGCTAGCCCGGGGTTCGGGTCGTGGGGAGCAAGTCTCAGCTTGCTCCACCCCTTCTGCGGTGCCAAGGGCCCGAGACCCCAGCCCAGGGAAGAGATCTGCCCGGACCCCTCTGGTGTGCCGGGGATGCAGAGATAATCCCAGGTACAGAGGATGTGATTTCTTTATCACTGAGACCAAACTTCATCCTTTCATGGAAACCTCACAATTCACCCAGATGTTTTCATTTTATAAATCTTCACCCTCTTTCTGCTCTTTAATTCTCTGTCTTGTGCAGAGAACTTACTTCCAGCCACTTTCTAAGTGAAGTTAATTTCATATGTATGAAAAGTGAGACAGTCTGGTCATCGGTTCCGGGACAAGTTGCTATTCCATAAACAAAAGGGCTGGCTTTGGTATTAGGAGAGACTTCCCAAGGATGCAATGATCATTCCACATTCCCCTAGTGCTTCTATCCTTCTTTCCCCACCCGCCGGAGCTGCGCCTGGGAAAGGGACAATGATGCACGGAAATACAGTAACTACCTCTGGATACTCCATGAAAAAACAACAGAGAAGCTACTATTGGGGTCCGTGAGTTCCTGTATCATTTTCTGCTTACTGGGAGGGCTGATGGTCCACAAAGAATTTGAGTTTCCTTCCAGTTCTGCTACTGTTATATCTTCTCTTTCATAATTTTCCAGAAATTGCATAGCACCCTGTACACACACAAAAGCACAGGCATAAATAGATCCCAGACATGCTGCTGGAGAGAGACAGCAATGACTCTGCCTTTTCCTGACTGCACAGAGGATTTCTTTCCCCAGGGGAGCATCTGTATCGCTTGGGCCTGAAGCCTCGCCTGTCCTTTGTCTGCTGACCCCCAGGCACCTTCTCTCTTCCTTCCAGTCAAATAATCAAGGAGAGCCAGGTCACTGCGATCACTTTCCCCTCCACTAGGAAGGGTACTTATCAGCGGAGGCGGCCTGTCTTCTTGTGAGACAAGCATTTCATCCACCCAGGCACACCCCCCCCCCCCCGCCGTCTTCAGAGCTGCTCACTGCTCAAGGTTCCTTTTGGCAGTGTGCATTTTTGGTGCAGGAATGTATCCATTTACCTAATCACGTCCTTCAATTAAAGACATTATTTGAAAAATTACTTTTGATGATGAGAACTACTGTCTCATATCATCGAAAGCTTGAGATACAGAGAAGGGAATATATGACATCAGGTATAACTCAGCTACCAGAACACTGGCACTGTTCTAGGCAGCAGGGGATGGATTCCTGCTTTTTATCATTAAAAAAATGTCTATAACTTTCTCATTTATATTGTAGCTTGAGAAATGGTCACACTATTTACAGTTTTTGTACTGATTATTTCTTTATTACAATAGAAGTTACTTGGAAGAGCTCCAGTCAACAAAGCATATACATGAAGTAAAAGTGGAAGCTCTCCCTTACTGTGACTGTTGGCGTGTGACCAGTGTTGATCAAACTCCTTTAACACATCTGTCCTAGTCTGCTTCACCTACCACTCTTTGCTGAACCCTCAAATTGCTTCCCATTTCCATTCACAAAGAGGATGCATTCTTAAGCAAGTACTTACATATTGCTTTCCCACATTTTGAATTACTGTCATAGGATAAATTCCCAGAGTAGACCTACTGATCCAAGGATCAATATCCATCTCAGTTTAAAAAGTTTACAAAAATGGATCCATATAGATTGATCTTATATTAAAATGTTACAAATTCAAACTATGATTATTACCATTTATGTCCAAGAACATAGATATAACTTCTTAGATGATCACAGTGGCCAGGGCCCTGCCATATAACTGGTAATCCCAGAAAAGTCGTTCCTCCCACCCCTGCAAGCAGGGTAGAGCAAGAAACAGCCCGACAACCTGTGAACTCCCCTAAACAGAAGGTCTTCATAGAGACCCATGACATGTGTTTACTTACGGTGTCCCTAGAGAACTTTTTTATAAATGCACCAAACCTCTGGTTGTCCATGACTTTCAGCTGGCTTTGTTGGGCACTCATTGTGAAAATCGGCTGGAAAACAAAGTACACAATGCTGTCAGGATCTCCCAGCTCTTCTTTGTATCCTGGGTTGAACACTGACATAGTTTATCAACCCCTGAGTCCCGGAAGGCAGCTGCCCTCAGACCTGTCCTTTTGAACTGGTTATCCCTGTGCTAAATGCCAGATGGAGCAATGCTTTCTCTGTTTGTGCACCTCATTGCATACATAACGTACATGATGAACGGCCAACATTTAGACAGAGCATGTGGATAGGCAAAGCCCCTCCCCGCTAAATATCCCAACAGTCACGCATGAAAGAGTGCAGTTTAGGAAGGGTGTGGGGCTAGGTGTGACCCAGGTTACCTGGTACCCTCCCAAGGTGATTGTGACAGAGACGTCCAGGGGCTGGTTGATGACCCCAGCGACAGACTTGATCAAAGACATGAAGAGAAGAGGAAACCAGACGATGCAAATGAGCAGGACGATGATCATGCCCCCCATGCCATACTTCACCACTTTCTTCTTCTTCTGGCCCCGGGGCTGAGGGTACCTCTGCAACAGAAAGGTTCAGAACGGCTCAGGCGAGGCAGGTCGGGGAGAGGCGGGTGTCAGGGCACATGGATTCCACCCTGATCTGCTCTGCTGGCTCCCACAGGGCCACTGCCGCCTTGTCGAGCCTTGGAACTGTACTGAGCCAGGCTCCCGGTCCCTACACCTGGCCCAACGCCCCCCTCAAGCTACCCTGTGCATCCCTTATCCTGCTGGATAAACATTCTGCTTTTAAGGGATCACATGAGAAAAGACATTTCACTTCAAGTTTCTGAATATTCAAAACCTCCGCTTTTCAACCTCCCTGCACATGTAGCTGGAGGGTAGGATGATGTTACTTTTAGTTTAAGCCTGACCACACTGTCCATGTGGTTCAGGTCCTAGAATGAGATGCCCCGCTCCCCCGGCACCACTGTGCTGAGCTCAGAGGCCGTGGGCGGGCAGAGGGCCGAGCTCTGCACTGCACTCAGGGGTCGGTGCTGAGACCGAGGGCTGTGCTGTGCTAGGGAGGAGGTCGGCCTCTCCAAACCTCAGGACGACATTTCAGCCCCACCATGAGACACCCAGAGGTGGACCTGGCAGGTCCCACCAATGGTGACCAGAGCCCCTTCGTGAACTGGCGAGTGGGTTAATGGTTCATCTGCAGTGGGTCTGCTACGCCAGCTGGCTAAGTCTCCTGAGTTCTCCTGTCTCTCACCATGTGACACCCTGGTCCACCACAGGCCTCTGCCAATGAGAAGGCGTCGCCAGGAGCTGCCCTTGACCTTGCACCAGAACCATGAGCCCCAACAAGCATCTTATGGTTAAACTCACCCATCCTGTGCCCTTATGCTATCAGCAACAGGAGACAAAGCACATAGATGATGCACTTAACACGGTGGTCACCCCACTCCCCGAAAGGGACCTGCTTATCCCAGCAGATCAGAAAAAGGAGAAACAGTGGAACTACAGGCACCGGGCTGTAGGCTCCAACCCAGAGGAGGCCGTGGAGCTGTGCCCAGCCGACCTGCCGTGGCTGCTGGACACAGTTCTGGAACCGGGAGAATGAGGCTGGGCCGGGTGTGGGTGGAGGTCAGCATGGACTCTGCCTGCTCAGTGTTCAAGCTCCACACCATGTGAGCCGTCAGAGGTCAGGGGCAGCAGGCCCTTGCACTGGTGTGTGATACTGTTGACTGCAATGATCTATTTCAGACTTACTGTTTTGAAAGTAAAACTGGAGTCTAACATTTGAAAATGTGAAATGTGTATTTCAACAACATCTATGTGTAGGTGCATGTAGGTGCATGTGCACATGCACACACACACACAGAAACACACGCATGTGCGTGGATTCCACTCTTCCCTCAAGGAGGCAAGTTTAGACCACCAGCCATCCACCACTGCAGGGTGCAGGGTTCTGTGTGTTAAGGGGCTCACTTTCAGGGGAAAGGAAAGAAGGGAAAGGAAAAATGGAAAAAATGGAAATAAAGTCTTTGTAAATAGGGAAGGGTGGAGGGGGTGAAGGGAGGGCTGGGAATGGGGAAAAAATACGAACCAAGATGCACCATGTAAAGGTGCAATTCCCAGTGAGAAATGTAATTGTGTTGTCTACCTACAAGGTACCAATAAAAGAATTTAATACAAAAAAAGGGGCTCGCTTTGTCTCTGCCAGGGCACTGTGCTCTCTCCTCCCCAAAGTGAGACCTCGGCTGTTCTCAAGGGCCAGCGGTCACTGCAGAAGCCCCAGGCCCTGGCCTTCTCCTCTTGCCTCTGCTCGCCCTCCCACACTCCCTGGGCTGATGGGGAAGGCCTGTGGGGCTGTCACCTTCCTGTCCTGGGCTGCTCCACGATCCCTTTCCTAGGTGACTCAGCTCCTCGCCACATTTCCCAGTTTGCCATTCCTGTTGCAGGCGCATTTCTGACAGCTTCCTAAGGTGTTTGGGGAACGGCTTGTGTTGGTTTAGGTTCCATCACTAGACACAATACCCGAGATTAATTGACTTGGCTTATTTTGGCTCACCAATGGCTCACCAATGGCTTATTTTGGGGTGTCAGGCCATGGGCACTTGGCCTTACTGCTGTGGGCCTCTGGTGACCCAGCACATGTGCTGGAGGGGTGGTGGAAGGATCTGTCAACTCATGGGGGCTGAGAAGGGCAGGTGTCTCAGTGTCTCCTTCCTGGGCTTCCTCCTGCCACCAAGAGGAGCGCCACAGCCTTTACTACAGACCTGGGGAGCACTCTGAACCCACACTGTGCTGTGGCTGCCCAGAGCTCACCGGAAACAGCAGGAGGAGCGGCTGGAATTGGGGATTTGCCCACCAACATTTTGGCTCCCAGGAAATCGCTCTTGCTTCACAAAGTGTTTACACAGATCTTATCGCAACGCTCACAACACAGACAAAGCAAGAGACATGGGCTCCTGGAAGGGTTGTTGAGCCCTCTGGGGACAGATGCACTTTGAACTTCGGGAGCCAAGCCGGAAAGGCCCACAAGAAAGGGGTGTCGATGCTGCCCGGGAGCTGAGGAGTTGGACAGGGAGAGCCCACAGGACGGAGGACAAACGCGGGTCTCTGTGGAAAGCAGAGGAGAGAGGACCGTACCAAAGCACCCAGGCGCAGATGCAGAAATGCAGACGCCGCCCACAGGCAGCTTTCGCACCCAGAGGCCTGCCAGCCCCAGGGGCCTCCTCCCGCGCCCCTGTCAGGGCAGCTGTCTCGTGTTGCAGGTCTGTGGAGCTGTTAGCAACATCACTGCGCTCCGAAGGCCCAGGCCAGGTGGGGCACTGCCGGATTGTTCTCGCTTAGCAGTTCCCACACACAGGTGTGCTTACTAAAAGTTTAGTGTACATTACAAAAAAAAAAAAATCCTCAAATTCTCCTTGAGGTGTGCAGAGCCCTAAGCAGCACGCCTTTGCCAACCCGCCAGGCTCTCTTCCCCCTGGAATCTAAGCTGCCTCTGAACTGGCTTTGACCCACGCAGGGACCTGGTGGGGGCAGTGGTGAGCAGCTTGGAGCCTCAGGACAGGACAGGCAACTGGGGAAGAGGCAGCACTCTGCTCCGGAGGACGAGACAGACACACCGCCCGCCGGTGGCTACTTCTTTAGGTGCTACGTCTGCAAACTCGACCACTTTGGATCAGAAATATTTGGGGAAAGCTGTCTGTACTGGACATGTGCAGACCTTTTCTGGTCTTTATCCCCTGACACACGTGGCACAGGAGCTACTGTCACAGCACATGCACTGTCTGAGGTGCGTGAATGCACCGGAGCTTACTTAGAGCACAGGGTAGACGGGCGCCGTAAGGAGCCAGCACTAAGAAGTCTTATGGAAGGGACGTGAGCATCCGCAGGCTCTGGTATCTGTTATAGTTTCTGTCCTAAAGCCGCACACGCTCACAGGTGGGGCTTGTGGAGTGCGATTGAATTCTGGGGTTTATGGCTGACTTGCGGTTACGATGTGGGGTGGTCGGAAGAGGTGGTCACTGTGGGTGTGACCCGGAAGTTCTGTCTCCCTTCAGGCTCCTCCCTTGACCCTGCTTCCTGTCCGCCATGCCATAAGCAGCTCTCCTCCGCCAGGCCCCTCTGCCATGCTGTTCTGCCTCGGAGCCAGCTGACTGTGGACTGAAATGTGAGCCAGAATAAACCTCTGCTTCCTAAACTTGTGGGTATCAGGTATTTTGTCCCAGCAATGAGGAAGTGACTAAGTCCCCAAGAGGGATGTCAGAAGCAGTCCGTCATGGGTTGTGAGCGATGACTGCACACCTACAGTACCAGGGCCAGACCCAAGCTCCAGGCCAACAGATGACAGCGGCCACAGGACAGACCCAGTAAGTTATCCTGTGGTGCCAGCTCAGCCCCGGAGGTGTCGCGGGCTGGGGGAAGCGAGTGTCCTCTCTGAGCTGTTGGAGGTGCTTTGTTAGGAGCAATGCACACTGCTCTCTGTCTGGGAACGAAGGACTCCAGAGCAGGAGCACTACAGCTTGGACTTGTGATGTTCCCACACGCAGGTGTGTTAAAGACTTGCCCGAGTGGTGCGTCTGGGAGGGGGCAGGGCCTTTTGGGGGTGGGGCCTAGTGGGAGGTCGTAGCTCATCAGGAGCACAGCCTAGAAAGGGATTCTGGGACTTCGGTCTCCTGTTTGGCTTCTCAGTCACCGTGAGGTGATTGGGGTCCTCTACCAAGCCCTCCTGCCATGATGTTCTGTGCAGCTACAGGACCAAGGCCAACTGGTCATGGGCCGTGAGTTAACGTAAACCTGTTGTCTTTTTAAGGCGATTTATCTCAGGTATTTTGTTACAGTGACAAAAACCTGATTAACACATGGAGGTAGAGCTAGTGTCTAAATTATTGTCTGTGTGACCCTGTGTATGTAATTGAACACTTTGTGGCAGCCAATTCTGTAGTGGAGTAGCCTTAGTGCTTAGAAATTTATTTATAATCCACTGAAATCTGCTGGAGTTTTTGACTTCTTGTCTTAATTCTGCTTTATGATTTATTTTTTCCCCTCAAATTGATTCTAGTTTTGCTTTTCTTTCCAGTACTTTAAGTTGTTGAAAACAGCTATTATTTCTGCTTTACCCACCCCTCATATTTTCCTACTTTAGACCAAACAATTCTTGGCTCTTTCTCCTTTTCCTCACAGGTCATGTTGTCCAGACCCCTCTGTCCCTCTGGTCACTACCCTCAGCGTCCTCTGTGGATTGGATCTGGTCTGTCCCCACTAACCCTCATGGAGAGGCTTCTTCTGCAGTGTGTGGAAAGGTGGGGAGGCATCTGCACCACATGAGGGTCTGTCCTTGTGGCAGGCTTTATGGTTTCCCGTGGCAATGGGTTAACCACGGCAGGAGTTCAGCCCCTCTTCCCTCTGTCCCACACATGCCTGCTTATTTTCTATTTTACCACCACGAGTGAGCAGCAGGCGGCCCTGAATGAAAGCTGAGCTGATGCCAGCACCTTCCTGTCCTCTAGAACTGTGAGCCATGATAAACCTGCTTTCTTCATAAGTTACTGGGTCTTGGGTGTTCTGTTGCAGCAACAAAGAATGGGCTGAGACATTTTGTCATCATACCAATTTCTTTATGCCTTAAAAATAAGGCCGTGTGAAGAAGATTTTAGCCACTGCCAGGCCTCATTTCCTTCAGTCCTACAAACCCCGTGAACCCCAGGCCACAGCACGGTGGGCCCCACGACTATAAAGCTGCAATTCTCAGGGGAGGCTGCAGAATGCACTAGAAATTACACAGACTACAGGAAATGTTTCCAAAGGGATATGCATGAGCTGAGATAAGCAGACATCTCCTATCACCCACTACTGGTAGTTGGGTATTTCAATTGCTAAAATGCAACAGGTCTTGGTTTCATATGCTAAACTTTTGAAAAAGTCTATAAATAGCAGTAATTTTACTTATACTTAAACCTTAATATTCCATCTAGAAGAATAAACAAATACTTGTACTTCAATTTCCTATGCACAGAGTTCCATTGCCCGTTCCTCTGCAGAGAATGACTCAGGAGCGGAGGTGAGCCCAGGGCACTGGGCCCGCCTGTCTGCCCACACCATTCCCCTGCCCCAAAGGGCACTGAGGACTCCTGGGCCACGCAGCAATGCATCGTTTCTTTTTAAAACATAACTACAATATACTGTTGCCAAACGAAGAAAACCCGCTGTTGCTCAGGAAGGCACAGGAAGTTAAAATCCTCAACTCCAGGTGTCCTGAAGTCAACAGTTCTATAGGTCATGATGGTTTTTGCCCCTGGCTCCACTTATTTGTGCCACAAACCCTGCAGACATCCATATTAACCTTGTAACCAAGCTGATCTCAGAGAAACAGACGGGCACTTTCCTCGGCGTCCTACCTTCTCCGACTCCCGCCAGCACTTCAGGATGAAGATGTGTGCGTAGATGTCCTCCACGCAGATCCAGCTGGACAGGCTCAAGGTCGTGTCAGTCCACACCCAGTCCATCACTGCCCTCAGCTCGGTGAGAAACGGGACCAGGCGGAACCTGCCAGAACCACAGCTAGTCAGAGACACTGGGTGGCCCCATCACCATCCGTCCCGGGGGCTCCTGCGATCCTTACTGTTTGACCCTGAGACTTGTGGAAAACTCTCAGGTGACTACCACAGTAAAACTCAGCATGCAAACGGCTGCTCTGCATAGGAAGCCCATGAAGGACTAGTGCTTTTCACGCTGTTATTTTCCCTGATGTCTGCCTGCACTGGGACTGCAGTTCACATAAATCTGAGGGTTGCTCAGCTTCTCTCTCCCTTATCTGTTTGCATTATGAGCAGCGTTTGGCTCAGGGGCACTGCGTCGCTGTGCTGGATGTTAGTGAAGATCGTTCGCTGGGAAGGAAGAGCTGAGGGCAGATGGGGAGGCAAGATGGAGCAGGGGAGGCGAGATGGAGCAGGGGATGCCCCAGAGCCAGGCCGGAGGACGTGCACCTGTCATTGCAATTTGGAGTAGTGTGGCCTGGCCCGCTGGGCCCTGAGGAACATCCTGTACTTCCTGAGCACCACAGACCCTCCCCAGACTGGAGACCTTGGGCTCGTCCTAGGGTCCTCACTCAGAAGTGGGCCCTGGACCCCTCAGCTCCACGGTGTGGACACAAATCCAGCCTGGAAAAGACAGGTTCAGACCCAGCTCGCACTAAATAAACCCCACGGCAGGCCCCACCTCTGGAAGCACCCATCGCCCCACTGCATAAGTCACTGTCCCCAGCTCTGCTGAGCCTGAGCAGCCTCGTCTTTTATGCTGAGAAACAACTTCCAGGAAACAGGAGAGGCTGCCAGGAAGGTCACCACGGGGAAGAGCGAATGCACTGTGTTTGAGGAGCTAATTCACCATCAGGACCAGGTGAGTCAGGCTGGCAGGGGCCAGATAAGCGCCCCTCTTCCATGCACATGCTCATTGTCCACTAACAGTGCCACAGGTGTTTTGGAAAAGCTCAGACTTGAAATACGCTATGACATCATACCCAGAAGCATATTAAAACTAAAGGATTATGGAGCCCTAATTTTCATCATTAAATATTGTCAAGGTAATTAGGCAGGATACTGAGATAAAAGACTGACCACGGTGGGGGATGCCAGGACAACTTCCTGGCCAGCCATGTGGTGCTCACTCCCAGGAAGGGGCCTAAGCAGCCACATCTGCCCATGGCCAGGCCGGGAAGAGTTCCAGGGCGATGACATCACTGTATTCTCCTTCCTGTCCCTTCCCAGGGGGACACCACATGCCTTCCAATGGCTCCGTCAGTGACCACAAGTGTCCTTACCCTTGGAACAGGAAGAGGTTGACATAATTGTAGCTCTTGGTGAGGAAGTTCCCAAGGACGCGTGTCGGGTAGCCACAGCGGATCTGGTAGGCAGACAGTCCGAAGTAAACACACTTCACAAAGTACCAGAGCTGAGCGACCAGGTTCTGGCTGAATTTCCTACAAAATGTAAAAGTGTGGGAAGTGAAGGAATGGAATGTTTCTGTTACAAGAATATACCAGTTAGAATTAAATCAAAGTGAATTTCCCCTCTGCCATTTAGTCAGTCCTAAGAAATTCTCTGTACACTGGGGGTCACTTCCAGGGCAAAAGAAAATCCAATAATTAAACAGATCCTGTAATCATGTACATTATTCAGTTGCCATGGCCAGGATTACATTAACTTACTCTTAAGTGAATTTACTAATAAATATATTCTTAAATGAGGCAGCGACCATACTCCAGATTAAAGCTTATGAAAGAAAAAAGGTGCATGTTTGCTTAAAAGGACTCACGACCCGGAATAAGTGGGAGGAGGGAGGCTGGGCAGAGCACCCTCCATTTCTTCCTAGGCCTCTACGTGGACAGGCAGTGGATTCACAAGCTTCCCAAACCTGGGCTGGGGTCTGTTCACAGGTAGTGGCGTCTGTCCCTCAAGACGGCAGTGTGTTCTCTGAGAGCGCTGCCCACCTCTGGTGCTGTGCCCGGCCCCCTGACCTGCCTTCCAGAGATGACGTCCTCGGCAGCAGACCCAGGCTTTGTGCAGCGAGTGGTGACTCGTGGGCTGTGTGGCTCCTGAGAGCTAATTCACACCCGAGCAACCGCTGCACACTAGGGACCCATTTTCCAGGATGGACGAGCTCTGGAAACATTTCCATCTTTGATAAATGTGGTGTTTTGCAAGAGTCTTAAATATGGCCCATGCACATTTCCAAAAGGAATGAAGACTTCTGACGTGGTGACACTTTAGTGTCTTCTTTGTCTTTAAAATTAGGAGCAGCACTTGGAGATTTTTACACAAGCAACGTATTACTCTTTGTGTTCACTTTGGATTTCTCACTAACTTAATTTTGTTATTTTTTAGAAATGAAAACTATGCCTCTTCAGTGAGCAGCAGAGGTGGCCTGTGGCTGGGCTGGGCTGGGGCCTCTGCTGTGGCCTGGCATGGCAAATTTCGCTGTGTTTCAGTCCTTTTAGCCTCAGTCAGAGTCCCAGGCGGCTGGACTCAGTCCTAGGGCGGCCTTGGAGGCCATCAGGCCAGTGGTCTTCCTGCTGCCATCCTGGCTGTGGATTCACTGACTCTGTGTCTGCTTATTTCCTTCATTTCCTTCTTGACAGAAGTCCACAAAAAGTTGGGCTTTTGCTTTCAAGACTGAAATGCTCCTCTTTCCTCCTCCCCGGCTTCCACTGCAGGCCCCTGGAGGTGACCACAGTCCCTCAACTTCCCAGCCTCCTGAGTATTCCCAACATGGCGGTGAAGTGGTGACTTCAGGGGAATGGAGACAGGGATATGGAGTGGCCTTTCCCCAAGCGCTGGCCACTGCATGGTGCTCATTCACTCAGACTGTCCTGGGGTGGGACTTTAAGGACAGGAGGGATCCGTTCTTGCCTGTCCCACATCAGGCAATCGGATGTAACAAAAATACTTGGATGAAGATTAGTGTGTGACAGGCACTGGGTTTAAGTTTTGCCTCAATCAATCAATCAGTCAGTCAGTCAATATTATGGAGAAAAGTAAACTAGTGAGGTCATGCTGGGCACTGACCCGTGGGAATGCCCCTGGCCAGCTTGCTTACTCTTTCGAGTCCAGTTTTCTCAGGCTAGAAGGAGAGGAAGTACAGCCACTGTTCTTCTGGGAGGCGAAAGCGATCATGAACGGTGAAGAGCAGGGCCCTAGCCCGGTTCCCAAGACACTGGAGATAAGAATGTCCAAAGGAAAATGTTCACCGACACTCAGGCTTTAAAACCAACTGACCCTTTCCCATAACAGCTTTTTTGAGATGTAACTGGTGCAGAGCGGAGGACGAGATCTCAGGCTGGTAGCATGACTAAGTGCTGACCTTTGTCCTCATGATCAGACCCGAACCAGGCGCAGCCACAGCAGTGGACGTGTTCATCAGCCCCTAAGGTCCTGGCTCCCGGGTTTTCAGGAGCCCCCGCGGTCTTGCTTCTCTCCTTTCTCGCACACGCAGCAAGCATGGAGAGGCTCCCGCCGCAGCTCCACCTGCGCCTCCTAATGCTCCCTTAAGGCGCCCTACAGTCCCCGGCTTCCCAACTGCCTGAGGTTCACGCCCACCGCCCCGTGACCAACACTCCTTTGCTTTCTGTTGCTGAGTGGTCTTCCGGGCTAGATGTACCCTGCAGTGTGCTCAGCCTCTCGCCTCTCCGTGGACATCTGGCTCACTTCCTGTCAGGGACTACTGCGCAAAAGCTGCTAGGAACCTTGGCATGCACATCTGCGTATGGACACAGGTTTGCATTTCCACATGCACACCCACAACTGCCAGATCCCATGGGAGGTGAACAGAAGCCCTCAGGAGACGCCAGACTGTCTTCCGCAGTGGGCGCGCCACCCTGAGTCCCTCCAGGTGTGTGAGCGTGCCGGGCGGTACAGACGCACCATGACAGTACTGGAGGGAGGAAGAGTAAACTCTGGATGCCAGTGTGGTGGTCGCATGGTTTGAAGTGACGAGAAACGACACTGCCAGTGATGTGCTGACAGAGACAACAGAAGGCTTATTGGTCCTATACATCTTGCTAAATGTCCCCAAATAAGGCCCCCTAAGCTGGTGTTCTAGGAAGGGTATTCGGTGAGGCTGGACGGTAATCTTCAAGGAGACAGACGCTTATCACACTGTGTGCCTGGGGACCCAGGTGGGCGGCGCTTGCTCACTTGGGTGGCACACCTCCTCCCCTGCTCTGCCCTGGACAACAAAGGGAAGTGAGTAAGCCAGGCATGACTGCGAGTCAGGGCAGCTTTCTTCATTCATCCAGCAACCAACACCTCGGCTTTAGCCCACGAACCTGCATCGGAATGCTGACCCCAGAGCCGTAAGCTGGTACATTTGTGTGGCTTTAAGCCACTGGGCTGCAGTGATTTGCTGAGACCGCAATGGACACTAGTGCCAGCTGGAGGGTGGCCACACAGCAGCATGCGTCTGGAAGCATGGTTTCTGTGGGGTCCGGTGGGACGTGGCAGAGATCCAGGGGGCTGGTGGGGGGGGGGAGAACCAACCCTGGCCACACTGCACAGTGAGGGACCAGGCCGGCTGCTCTCAGCAAGGCTGGAGGAAGGTGCGGGTGCTCCCTGCGAGGGAGGGCGACCCAAGGCCCCCGAGGTTTGGACCAGGATCTCGCTTCACCACAATCAGCCCAGTTTGGGGAGAGTGCTTTTCTCCATGGGGTTTGGCTGCTCTAATCTGTAAAACTAGACAGCAATTTTAGGAATTTTTTGAAAGTTACAGTCTCTGAAATTTGGAGTTTCCGTGGAGGCTGGTGGAGAGGGTCTTTACTGAATGCTCTCTGATTTAACAGAAAACATTCGAATTCATCATTTGGCTACCTTGGGTGTCACATTTGGTTTATTTCTCTGATTTAAAGGATGGGAAGAATTAAATATTTGTAGCGCATATTATAATTACTTTAAAGAACAACAAGATTCATAACATTTTCATGAAGGAATTCTGATATTTGTACAAACAGCTGCCCTAATTTGAATTATTCTTATAATCTGAGCTCTGAGGTATGATCAAAATAGGCAGTAAATATTCAGATTTTTGAAAAATTTATTATGGTGAAAGGCACACTGTCGCTGATGCCTTTCCTAGCTTCTCCCCTCACTGAAAACGCACTTGGCTCCTCCTTCTCGCCACCTTCTGAAGCAGTTCTGGGAGCCTTTCCTCGGATCATCACAAGGTGTGATCAGAAGTGTGTGATGTCACTGCCGAGTGCATCCAACAGAAAGACTGCTCTGACATCATGATGGTGTCCTCCGCCACCTCAGTCACCGGATCTGGCTCCGTGCAGTTTCCGGCTCTTCCCCAAAGTCAGAATGACCATGCAAGGGAAAGGTTTTGAATCCATTCAGGACACGGAGGCAGCCACACAGCACAACTACAGACACTCAGGAAAGAGGACTCCAGAGCTGCTCCAGAACATGGCAAGATGGGATGAGTGTGTTGAAAGTGAGGGTGAGGAGTGGGGTGGGCTCAGTGGCAATGTGTCTTTTACTGTAATAAATTTAAGAGAGAAAACTGAACATTCACTGTGTCTTTCAATCGTGCCTCATACACTCACCCCCACTATATGCTGTGGAAGGAGAAGCTACTGGGCTCCTGGTGTTTTCTGGTAAGAATCCTTTATTTCTTTAGTTCTACCTTGGCCTCAGGAACATTTTCCTAGCTCCTTTCCTGTTAAAATATTTGCATCCCATCAGTTGTTATTTGGAAGTAGCGATCGGCGCACTACAGTCAGTCTAGGCTCCCAAAGGAGAGCAGCGCTGTGCTGCTGCTGGAGCTGCAGGTCAGATTTCCTCCTCAGGGTTGGGTCTGCTTTGGCTTCCTGAAGAGCCACATAAGTAAAGTCTAATTGGTATTACTTTCTCTTCCCACTTCCCAAAACGTAGTCAGCCAGCCTGCCTGCCAGGCTGTTCACAAGACCTGGTTGAGGATGGCGCTCAGCTGTGATCGAAAGATGGAGTTTAGGGCCGAGGAAGAAGCTCAGTGGTTCCACCGCCTGCCTCGCAAGCAGAAGGACCCGAGTTGGATCCCTGGTACTTTCCCGATGCCCAGGGGGTCTGAGGCCGGGTCACAGCAGGACAGCTGCCCCCAGGCCGGTCCTCAGGAACCGTGCCAGCTGGGGAGGCCTTGTGGTCGGGGACACAGCTCCCATGCTGGCTGTGGGAGACTCAGCTGCTGGTGGACACAGCCACAGGAAGCGACAGCCCTGCTCCATCCTGCCACGCTGGGCCCCCCCACCCTGGGGACCTCTCCGCTGATGCCCCTGCCCGCAGCCATGGACTTGTTTCCTTTCTTGGACTGGCTGTTCAGCGGTTCACACATGAAGCATTAACTGGGGCACGCCATGGTGAAGGCGTGGGGTGAGACCCCACGAGGAGCAGGGACACTGGGCTGAGGTCTAAGGAGCTAGGACCGGATGGTGCCTCGGAGGAGAGAGACCAGGGGAGGCCGCACCTGGGGCGAGCAGGTCAGTGCCCTGGACCCAGGGGAAGACAGCGGCACCAGGCTCCCTGCTGAGGCGCCACTGTCATCTCACCCACCCTGACTCTCAGCTCACTTCCGCCAGCAGCGACCGCCGTGTGGACAGAGGGAGCAGCAGCGTGGCTGAGGGCCCCTCTTCCCGACCACGTGGGAACTACTGCCACTGCCCTCCTCCTGCTGTCCCTTCCTCTGCCGATTAACGGCCTCCATTCCCCGTCACTCTGTCTGACACGGTCCTCGCCCCCGACAGTGTGCCCACGACCCCACTCCGGTTTCTAAGTCACCTGAGCCTCAGTCACAGAGGCTGTGGCTTCCCCAGCTCTGAAAACCGCTTCTGTGAGCTCAGGTGAGAGTCAGCCAAGACATCCCGGAGGAATCAATTTCCACTTCCCATTTGCGCTGATTTACCATCGATTCCGGCCCTGGGCTACCACAGATGCACTTGCAGCCAGGACCTCTGGGAATCTACCTGAGACACTCACCTCTCTGTGACACCAGGGAGGATGAAGAACATCCAGAAGTGAATTCCAAACACGAGGATGACCTGGAAAATGACCTTGCCCAGCACAGTCTTCCTGAGGTAAAGCGCCCGGTCCACCACCATGGTGCCGAACTGGATGAGCACCATCACCAGGAATGGCCCGGGGACCTGGTCCTCAGACAGCGAGGACGTGATGTCTGCAGCTGCCGAGTGTTTCTGGGGAGGAGAGCGGGGTTGGTGCGGAGGGGCCTCTCCCACATGGGAAGCCGGCGCTCGGTCAGCAGCCAACCTACCCCGAAGGCCCAGAAGCCAAAGACGATGATGATGAAGTCCACGGTGTCGGCCAGGAACATGAGCACATACACGTCGGTCACGGCGCTGTAGTCTGGGTGGATGAGGTTGTAGAAGAACTGCCGGATGGGCACGTAGATTTGCAGAGTCCTGTGAAACAGAGACCCGTGTGCTTGCTTCTGGGATGCAGGCGGGGAAAGGCACTAGGCACTGTCTTCGCCGCTCCAAGTGCGGGGACAGGGCTGCTTGCAGCCTGACACTGCCACGCTGTCCTTGTGACCGGAGCCTGCTGCGGATTCTGCCAGGCTGGGTGCTAACGGAACCCGGGGCTCAGGGCGGGTGGGGGTGGCCCTGGGAACGTGTGGGGGTGCGAGGTGCCCGCTTTGGTCTCCTTCCTGCCTCGTCCTTCCCCACTGAGCGTCCCGTCTCCAGCCTCTCTCCAGCCTACCCTGCTCTGGGTGCCACTGGCTTGCTTGGCAGCCTGCAGGTACAGCCCCACTGAAGCCTGTGGCCCTGCCTTGCTGGGGTGGCCCCCACAGGTGGGCAGGGCCACACAGGCGCTGGGGACCAGCTCTGTGCCCTGATGACCCAGCTATCTCTCCACGGGCACCCTGAGTGCATGCCTGAGGCCTGCCTGGCTCTGACCTCGAGGCCCGCTCCGTCCACCAGGCTGCGCGGTGACCACGCCAGGATTGTGTGCTATGAGCCCCAGAGTCGCTCGTTTGCTTTGCTCAGGTAGGAAGAACGTGGGCATAAATGCGGTGCATGGGAAAGCCATTGTGCTTGCTGGAAAATGATTTTTAAGAACAACACAACCATGGGTGGTTTTACCCCACCAGGGACCAGATGATGTTTGCTACCCTGTGGCATGGAGGAAAGGACCACCACGGGGTGCAGGCTCAGCCCGGCCGGCCGGCAGCCGTGCACTCACTTCCGGATGGTGAAGGCCTTGGCCCGGACCAGGTGCCCCTGCAGCTTCTTCACGTACAGCTCCCTCCTGCTCTTCTGCTTCACGCTCAGGATGCTGCTGCCCTTCTGGCTGCTGTTCCGGGTGCTTGTGCTGCCTGGGGGAGTGAGGAGCAGGGTTTCCGAGGGGGAACCCTGGGGCCTGGGAGCCACATGGGAGGCCTGGGCTGGCTGCTGGGTGCGCTGGGCACGAAGGCCTCGCACATTCAGGGATCTGTCCTCTCAACTCCGCCCCTCGAGGAGCAGACCTGTGAGGTTTCACCCTAGGGGAGGCTCCACCCTGATTGTCCCGTAACCTTTGTCCCAGCAAGAAACACTTCAAAGAACAGCTTTTATGGCACCAAATAAAGTTGTGGCTTTTCCAGATGGGGGGTGTGACCCACGCCTTTATCATAACCTGATTTCTCCAACTATATGAGGACTGTGTCTGCCCCAAAACTGGCCCTGAAGATGGACACACACAGGTGTCTGGAGAGCTTCAGACCTCAGACCGAGAAATACAAAGCAGGGTGCGTCTGCTTCCTGATCTCCTCGAGGTCTAGTGAGGACTTAACTCCCAGCTTAGGAGGTGACTGGACTGCGTGGCTGAAGTTCCCCCCGATGACACTGAAACCCATTTCCAAACTGAGCTGCGCTTGAGGCCACTGGGACACACTCAGGAGAGCGTCTGCTACAGTGCAGGCACTTCCCCGTGCCTGATGCTCAGGAGGCCCCCAGGGCTGTGGCCTGCGCACAGTGACTTCACAGCCTGTCCTGGGGAGGAACTGGATGTTTCGAGCAGAGGTGGGATTTGAACTTGGGTCCATCTGGCCCGTGCACTCTTCCCGGTGCGATGTCTGTCTCCTGCTAGCTCCCGCTGACTCACCTCCCCGGACCCCCGGCAGCACGGGGGCTGTTCCAGCCCAGATGTCGCGGGACACGCACCTCTTTTGGACCTGTTGGAGGAGAAGCTGGAGCCGGGGGAGTCCCGGCCGCTGCTGCTCGAGCGCTTCCTGCGCAGGGCCCTGGGCGGCTCGGGGAAGGTCACCTGCACTGACTCCACGGAGGCGGCCAGGTCAATGGACTTGAGCGAGTCTGCGGAGTCTCTCCTGCTACGGCTGAGGGAAAGCTCAGCATCCGAGTCGGCCTTGTCGGTGCCGCTGTCCACGGCCTCCTCCTCGTCCCACAAGCCGTGGCACTGGGCGGGAGGAAAGGACAATGAGACCAGATTCCGGGAGGGACGGCTGAGTGCCCGGACCGACGGCAGCACTGGCCCTCGGCTGGGGAGCAAGGGGGCAGAGGAGCTCATGGCTGAGGGCTGCACCCGAGGCCCAGGAGGGGCCATGTCCGTGGCCGGTGTGGCCACAGAGCTGAGCGGGAGAGGCGGTGCTCGGGTGACACAGGGAGGGACCCGGCAGCTCCCCGTGAACGCCCTTTCCCGACTTGAGTCTGGACAGGTGGGGCCAGTGTCCACGGCTGCCGTGGAGGAGCAAGGTCAGCAGCTCAGGGACAAAGCTCCGAGGATTGATTCCACTCAGGAGGCGCTGGCCATGGCGCGACAAAGGCTGCCAGGCCTTCTGCAGAGTCTGGGTTCTGCTCCCAGGAAACAGGGCAGAGGGTCTGTAAGGGGGGAGGTGTGCAGAGCGGACAGCGCTCCAGGTGACTGGGAATGGTCGGTTCACCGGAAACAAAGTCACAACCGTGCGTGTGCGTGTGTGTGCGAGGCTAATGCCATGGCCGTGCTCAGAGAGAACCCGGGGACTGGTGAAGCCACACCTGACAAAATAAACTTAAAACAGTTTATAAAGAGCACAAGGTTAGGGGAGGAGGAGTGCAGTGAGGCTGCGGAAGCAGGCGCATCGGCTCAGGGATCCGCCGCGCGGTCTCGGGCCTCGGCCATCACAGCTGGAGGGCACAGCGGGCGCAGCGTACAGTTCCCCCGTGTGCCCGGGAGCAGAGCGGCTGGGCCTGTGTGGGCCAGCTGTCCTGCCCACCCCGGGCTTCCTCCTGCTGCGAGAGCGGCCTCGCGCTCCGCTCCGGCGCTCCCTGGTCAGGCCTAGGCCAGGCCGTCAGAAGTGTCCTGGAGAGCACGCGAGGCCTGGGGCCCAGCCGCGCCCCGCCCCGCCGCGCCCCGCCCCGCCGCACCTTCAGGATGGAGCGGTGGAAGAAGAGTGCCAGGAGCTGGATGAGGTCGTAGAGCACGTAGCCCTCCTTCTTCTCCACCCCGATGATGTTCGGCGGGTGGTAGGGCTTGTCCTTGTGGATCTCCACGTTCTTGTTCCAGGGGAAGAACCCGAACTGGAAGAAATACTTCACCACAATCGCCACCTGCACAGGACGATGGAGATGAGGCATTGTTTTTCTCCTTCCGGGAGTTAGGGTGATAGGAGAAACGACGGCTGACAGTTTGGGAAAAGCCTGGCTCCCAGCTTCGATGGCAGGAACGCATGCAGCCGTGTGGGATGAGAGTCCCGGGCCCGGGTCACGGGCGTGGGAACCAGCGATACTTGGTGTGGCGAGCGTCCCACAGACACAGCAGGGCCAGAGGGCTCCACCCTGCCTCCACCAAGGCTCGCTCCTCCGTTTGTGAGGAACTGGACTGTGCACTGATTTAATCAGCTACTGAACACGGTCACCAGGACCAGCTGAGCCGAAGCATGTCTGCACCTTCCTGTGTCACGCCTGGCTCCGACCCGGACCCCCGGGGCCGCGCAGGTTTGGATACACGGCTTCCAGTTCCCTCCATCGTGTCTGTCACCTGTGGCTGTGAGCCACCGAGTAAAAGAAACAACTAATTTTTCTCTGTTTATCTTTGTATTCTCACGCCTGGTACAGTTCTTGGTTTTGGGCAATAGTTCAAATTGTAGAGTGAATCAGCATCCATTTAATTTCCTATTTACTTCATTCCTTGATGTTTTGGGAAACGGAGAACCCAACATAACAAAGAACCATTTTGGATTTTTCCTTTGAGGCACTGGAGATTGAACCCAGGGCCTTCACAGCGTGCTACTTCTCCAGCCCATTTTTTATTTATTTTTATTTTAAGGAAGGGTCTTACTAAGTTGCTAAGTCACCTAGGCTGGGCTTGAACATGGGATCCTCCTGCCTCAGCCTCCCGGTGCTGAGTTTACAGGCATACCACCAAGCCCTGCTAACAAAGAGCACTTTTATTTTTAAGAGGAAAGCTATGTAAGTGGGTCTTGTCCGCTTTTCTATTTTCGGTGCCTCCTCCTCCTCCCCACCCTAGGTGAGGATGGCATCTGGCAGGCACCTCGTGCTGCGAGTGGCTGGGAGTGGTGTCCATTCCCCATGCTCCGGGTATGCTGATGACGGAAGGTTCAGCGAGGCACCGACCAGGGCGGGCAGGCCAAGCCACCTAACAGCTCCTCTCTCTCCTTTCTCTCGCTGGGCACTTGGGGAGGCCTGTTCACTCGACTGCTGAGTTACCCGAGCGCCCACCGCCCTTCCAGGCTCTGAGCCCCGTCTGCCTTGGGCACTGTGCTGTTGGGATCACGATAGTGCCGTGACCAGGACAGCGGTGGCCCGAGCAGGAAGGAGCATCGCAGCCTGAGCATTGCCAGCACCCGGGAGCCGGGGCACCAGGCCTGTGAGCCTTGTCCTGGGCCTCGGGCAGTCACTGGACCAAGGGGGCAGGGTAGGAAATCCAGTCCCCTGCCCACCTGGGGGCCCTCACTCTCCCTGTCAGGGGCACCCTGCCTGTGGGCCTGAGGGGACGGCAGCCGGTGCTGCAGGGCTGGCAGCGGGCTCTGGGCCCCCCGCCACTCACCGGTCCCCCTGGCCAGTCAGGTAACCCCGAGCGGCTCCTTACCTTCCCGAGAGCCACTCCACCCTCCCATCACCCACCTCGGTGTAGACGATGGCCATCATCCAGAAGCGCCGGCTGGGCCTGGGCACAGAGAGCATGGCCCACAGGAAGATAAGGATGGGCAGCAGCAGCGTGATCATGGAGGCGGACACCATGTGGTTGAGGATGATCACGAAGTAGCACACCATCTCGGAGCGGGCCACCAGCGTGTTGTACATGGCGTAGAACAGCAGCAGGAAGCGCGGCTGGCCCACGTAGAACCTCTCGGACTCCTCCAGCTCGTCGTCATGGAACATCCTGACACACGGAGGAGACAATGAGACGCTGTCCCACGTCCCTTGGCGAGGTCCCTCCCGCGGGAACCCTGCTTCCCGGGCCCTAGTTCCCTTTGCGGGTTCCTCGTGCAGGCTGAGGAGCCCGTGTCCAAAAGGACAAGTGTGTTTTGGATTTGGGATGTTTCAGATTTTGGAATATTTGCATGCAAAATAAGGTATCTTGCGCTTGGAACCCAAGTTTAGACACGAAAATCATTTATGTTTCATATATATTTTATCCATATGGCCTGAGGGTGATATGCAACTGTAAATAAAACAAAGTTTCCTGGCATGAAATCACCCACTTCCAGCACCAGGCAGGCACTCAAAGCACGTCAGTCTTGGGCTCACTTCGATCTGGGGTTTTGGGATTAGGGTCTTGGCTGTAGGAGGCGCTGTTCCACTGGGCAGTCAGCTCGGCCCTCCGTCGGCCTTGCTGTTCCCTAACTCAGTCAGCCAAGAGCCCAAGTGTGACTCCGTGGCCGGGGTGTGAGCTTCTGCCGCACACACTTCCCAGCGTGGCGCACACAGAGCGCGTGCGTGCGTGTGTGCGTGTGAGCAGAGCCTGGCCCTTACTTGTTGAGCAGCAGCTCGCTGGCCGTCAGCTCGTGGGTCAGGGGTGGCAGCAGGCTGGACTCCAGCTTGTCGGTGCGGCTGTCGTCCGGGCTGACCACCATGTGGTTCTTGGCTTCGGCGCCGTCCTGCGAGCCGAAGGACAAGTGCTCGAAGCTGACAGCTTTGCTGTAGGAGGGTGGCACCTCCATGTCCCCGTCATTGGTGGAGAGCAGCGGTGGCTCGTCCTCCTCGTCCTCGGGGCTGAGGCTGGCCTCCTCAGCCTCTGCCCCACACTCGGCCCCGTGCTCCTCCTCCTCCTCCTCCTCCTCCTCCTCC